GTAGGCCATCTTGGAGTTTGACATGGCAACCCAATTTTCGAAAGGAATCTTTCATTTTAGATGAACCCACACACCAAATTGGAAGTTGGTACCTCACTTATTTTTCAAGCGCACAACATGCATGAATGGTAAATTATCAAGATACTCAAAGCTCTTTACAACAATCTGTGCCTCATTTACACATTCATACAGCACTCTACTAGATCTCTACAAAGATAATCTGAATCTGTAGAGACGAATCAGTGCTTTATCACATTCAAACACCAATGGGACACACATTGGAGTCAATGAAGGGTTCAGTGTCTTGCTCAGGGACACTTCAACATGTGACTGCTGGTGAAATCGAACCCCCAACTCTCCCATTGGAGGACAGTTATTCTAACCACTCAGCCACACCTGCCCCATGAACAGATGGATGACTTACAGGCAGAAGGATAGAGGTTATTTCCAATTTCCCCTTTTTGCGCCACAATGAGGGACAAAAACTATCTTCTTCAGAGCAGTTTCTGACAAGTTTCATGTTTATCTTACCTTCTTCTGTGGTTCGAACCAGCAATGTGCGGCTGTCCCGGCCTTGGAATTCATCAAAATATGGGCGAATCTTTAACTCATACTCCGTTCCTTTAAGCAAGTTGCTGAGGACGGTGCTCCGCTCTGAGGGGGAGTTAATATCTTGAAGGAGCCAGGTTCCCCCACTGGGGCGGTAAAAAAGGCGGTAGCCCTGGACATACGGAGACTGACGATCAACCTAAAATAAAAAAAAATCATAAATTAAAGGGTCAGCAATGGGGTAAGAAAAGAGTTAAGGAAAAAATTAATAAGCAAAGGCTTTGAATTCCTTGAAGACCTGCACTTCACCCACTGCCTTTCACGTCAGTTTTAAGATTATCTTATTAAAAGAAAGAATGCAGTTGTAGTCATTGTGGTTAAACCTCAAAAAGAATATTCTCATGCAAGATCTTCAGATATCATGGTATCTATTGTGAAGGACTCTCAAGTTACCTGGCAGCTTAGCCCAGCGGGTAGGAACATTGTCCATTGTGAAAGCTTGCATAAGCTGTTAACAAGAATTGACTGTAAAAGTTTTTCATTCAACCTTTATTTCTACAGGTTAGTCTCATTGAGTCACGAGGACTCATTTACAAGACAGACCTGTTTTAGACAGACAACATATAAAGTATATCAATTGAAGATGAAGAGTGAATGAATGCTTTCTCCGTTTAATCTCCGAAGCCATACAGGGTTCGGCCCTGTCTCGTCAGGGCATACACCATGTCTATGATGGTCACGGTCTTCCTCTTGGTTTGCTAAGTTTTAAGACTGGGCTCAAGACTTTCCTTTTTGCTAAATCCTATAGTTGGGGTCGACTTGGATTTCCTGAGCTGTCCCTTAGTTATGCTGCTATAGGCTTAGACTGCTGGAGGACAAACTGACCACAATTTTTCACTCTGCTACTGTCTTTACTTACTCTGTTCAACCTGTTTTGTATTTGTAATTATTTTTTTCTATCCTTATCCTTTTTGTCTTTCAGTTATACCTGGACCTATACCTGGACCTACCATTCTGTGTTTGTTTTCCTCTCCTTTCTGTCCTCTCAACCCAGCCGGTCAAAGTAGATGGCTGCTTGCTCTGAGCCTGGTTCTGCCAGAGGTTTCTCCCTTTTAAAAGGGAGTTTTTCCTTTCCACTGTTGCCATTGCGCTTGCTCAGGATGGGAGACCGCAACGAAGCCAAGATTCAACTTGTCTGCTGGATTCCTTAGATTGAGAACTTTACTAATGTAGTATGTCGGGACAGCTTTCGCTGTGGACATCCTATTAATGAATTATTCTTAAGGCTAGTTCAAGCACAAAGAAGATTAATTGTTTAATTAACAACAGATTCTTTCTTTTTCGAGTTAAATTTCGGCCATGTGACCAAGTTAACTTGAAAGTGGAGTGTATAATTAGTGACAAGAGACGTCATTTATCTTTGACCCATCAGAATAAATGTGGTCATTTATTTAACAGAATCAAAATTTTACATAAAAAAATGTACACTTGATTAGCTGATCTGTTTCTGATTAATAAACTTAGCAAGTTCAAATAACAAGACAACAGAGGATTACTGATGGAGAATAATTCATCTCTGAAGGCATTTAGCTTGATTTACTGGCGGAGAGGTTTACAAGAGGAGAAATTTAGAGGTTTAAAGAGGAGGATTTAGATGGATGAAGGAAAATGTGTTGACCAGGAATGGCACCCTTTATCCGACCCCAGCTCAGCTCCGGTACACTTGGTGCGTGACGACTCGTTACCTTTGCAGAAGATAAATCAGGTCCGGTACAGAGGTCCATTTCAACGCTACCTTTCAGCGTCTCTGGTCAGAGTGGCTGGGAATCGTCCGAAGTAGTGACGGTACTCCGTTCAACAGAAAAAGCTTACTTAGAAATTGAGAGCATTTAATGCTCGGGGTGAGATCACAGCGAGGCGTGCTATGACTCTGCTGGAATGGATGGACCCTTGGCTCATGGTCTAATTCCATCAGCTATTTAGTTCAGCTGTAAGACTCCAGCAAGACTGCAGTCCCAGCACAACTCCAGTAAGACTGAGTCCATTAAGACTGAAAGTTCCAGTCAGAACTCCAGTAAGACTTCAGTAAAAACCTCTATAAAAACCGCGTAGTTCCAAGAAATGTTGACTTTTAAAGGGTATCCACTTCCTGTTACTTGGTACTTCCTAATTTGTTAACACAACCAGCAGGGGTGGAGTTTTAGTGATGTCAGAGGGTTATTAGAAGTCGCAGACAGCAGACATGTTTTTAAGAACGGTTAGTACAGACAGGAAAATATTTTGAAGAAGTGAGAGACTTATAGGCGCGCCAGTTTCTTATTTACTGTCTGAGTTTTAAAACAAGGCACTTCGTTCTCATAACTTGTTCTCTGACTTTTGACAGACATCAACTCCACTCCTCATTCAGAAAAAAGAGTAAAATGTACAATTACTTTGTAAATAGACATTTAATTTGTGTCATCTAAGTCTAATGAGGTTTAAAAATCATTAATACTGTTTCACAGTTTATTTAAATGAGTGGTTTACTTCAACATTAGAAATGGTATGAACTGACCACACTTTTGATTATCAAGATATTGTAAAATAGTAATGATAATATAAAAAAAGAAGAGTGTTCTTTCAATTGATTAATTCAGGATACAATTAAATAGTCTCTTGATGAGATAATTTGTGTTCTGGATTCAAATCAATGAAATAACAGTTCCTGTCCCCTGAAGGTCTTCAGAGACAGATTGATGTAGGAGGTCTAGTTCACTACAGTCCCCCCTTTGGAAATCATCGCCTGTCCGTGGGGATGAATTCCAACATGAACTTACACCTCCGAATGTCCTTGATCTTGATGTAATCCAGCAAGAGGAAAACAAAAGTCAAATAAGGTAATCCCACAACGGTTCTGGTAATTCCATAATGTTGTTGGTAATTCTATTGCAGCAACGCTTTAACCCCTTGGAAACAAAGTCTGTAATCCATTGGAAAAAGTCATATAATCCACAATGGTAAATCCACAACGATTGGAGGTGTTGATTGATTAGCATGTAGAGGGGTTCCCTCGATTGAACTGAAGAGGCGACCACTGGATGGAGTTTGGAGACCCACATTGGAGTTGTAGGTCCCTTCAGCGAAGGTTGCTGCTGGTGGTTCCCAGTGGATGCCATTCTGGTTCTTATGTGTTCATGCATTTATGTGGTTTTAGTTGGGCTTATGAGTGGGATTTTACATAAGACCTTAACCTATATGCACCTGATGTGTAAGCTATCATGGTTTAGATCAGCTACAGATACCAATTAAAGGGTGGGTCATGCTGAAAAATTATATATAGGGATTTATACCTATAGAAGGGCATTCCAAACTATTCTTCCATTCCTAACTTGGTTTAAGTTAGATTTACATGGCAAAACATAGTTTGGTTCAATTGTCTGTTGTCCCTTTAGACGAACGACTTGAGTTTTGGGTTTTTGGTTTCCCCCTAAATGTTTTTGGAGTCTATGGCGAGACTCATTTTAAGGATTAGCTAGCCCCTCCCGGAATAGGATCGTTCGAGTGGGTTTGGCTTGAGAGTCGTGAGACCAATGTAGGTTATGGTACTTAAGATAGCATTAATCTACATTGACTCCTTGAAGATTGAAGTTTAACAAATGAACTGCATGTTAGCATAGTTAAAGTCCTCATATGCCGCTTTTCCATTAGTACCTGTAGTACCGGTACAGCACGGCTCTACTCTACTCGGTACGGTACAGGTTGTGTTTCCATTATGCTTTCAGTACCGGTTCCAGTGGCGGGGTTCAAATTGACGTCACCACCTCTCACCAGCTGGTGGCGCTGAGACGCAGAAACTGTTTTCAGTACAGGTTGAGAGTTCATGTTATTTTGAAGTTGTGTGTATGTATGTGTATATGTACATGTGTATAAATATATATATTGTCAGGATCAGCTGGACAGGAACGAACCCAGTTGTGCAGACAGGA